CCTGCTGAAACTGTAAGAAATAACATCTGCACAGTACATTAAAAGACTGAAGCATTATATAATTAAAGTGCTTTAATGATGTCAATAACAGTTAAAAGTTTGCACAGAAATTTAAAAAAAAATCTGACAAATAGCGGACAACGTGAAACTACTAAAATAAAATCCATATAGAGGAAGCCTCTATAATTGAAATGGAGAGAGCAGCCAGAACAGCTATGTGACACATCCATTGCCAGCTGTGGAAAATTATAAATTGGATCACTTCTGGAAAAACTGTGGACCCCTTTTAACTCATCATACCGTTATTGGAAAAAATGGCAAATATTTGACTACCATAACAAATTCTAAAAGCAACACAAAAAATATACAATCACTGTAAACCCCAGCATAGCAATGAGGATAAATATACCTCTGGAAAGATATACTTAAAAAAATTTTTCAGACACATCTTTGTTAAAAAAGAAGGTAACAATACATAAGAAAAATGAAAATCAAAATATTAAGTGTAAGACTGGCAAAATAATACACTAAAAGTAATAACTCAGAGACCGAGTTACAAAACATTTCAGGATGTTTCATAGTCAAAGTCTTTTCCTGGCCATGCAGACTAGAGTTGCACGAGCAGTCGGAAAAATGGAGTGCTATGACACTTGAGGGCTTAGGCTGGCTGCTGACACAGCACAGGAACCCTCCCTACCAGAGAATTCCTATGCTCCTGGAACCACTGTCTTCAGTGCATCACTAGCTTTAACTATCATTTTTGTTTCTTAGCAGTTCTGCACAAAACACTGGATTCTGAACTGTTTCATGCATCTCTGCAAGACTCACCCTTTGGTACTTTCAGGATGAAGGGGTGTGTACATGTGTGCATGGCTGTGTGAAAGGGAGGGAGTATATTTTTAGGTCCTTGCTCTTTTTCACTAAGCATGGGAATGGCAACATGGGTAAAATGACTGGCAACTATATTATATTTAACCTCTTGTTAAATGAAAACTAACAAGAAACTTAAACCAACAACATTTTAAAGAAAGAGTCTACAATCTGCTATTACAAAGCAATACCTCAAATCTAAAATACATTTATCTGTGGTCCTTTGGATATGGCCTTTTATTAATCTCATCCAGAATACCAAACACAGCGTCTGTGTGTGTGCATCTACCAGTGATTAAATATTTCAACTAGTTCTCTAAAATATGAGAAATCAAAACTCTCCTAAAGTTGGGGTCTACCAAGCAATAGAAAATACTTGATTCTGAAAAATGTGCACTTAATTAGCTTGGTAGTATTTTCACACAAAATTAGCTCAGCATAATAAAATTCAAATGTAGTGGGGTTTAATCCACACCACTCTGCTATTAAAATTTGTTAGGGAGTTACCAAGTGTCCACAAAACTTGATTAAAGAACAATTACGTAGATAATTGTTCACACTACCTGTTCTCCAGCCTTGAAATCTTGAAGCGCTACACATTCACACCGGTCATCTTCTAAATTGTAGCCTGTAGTGATCTATCCAAGGAAAAAGTAACAAAAGCACCTTCAGCATTTTATATTTATCTCCCCCACGATTGACAAAACATTGTCGTATTGGAAACAGATATTAACAAGAGCAATTGCACACATTTCTTTCTCTGCACAATATAATATACCTGGTAGTAATTGTTTTATGATTCCTGAGCAATCTCTTTTTAAAAAAATCTCCGCATTAAAGAAATCTAAGGGAAGAAATAACTTACCTGAAGTGAACGGAAGGCTCTGAGGGAAGTACCCTCTATACACCACAGACAGTCCCGTGCTAAAGCCGGCAGCTTGTTTTAAAGTTCTAGAGTTTTCAGTCACTCCCATGATACCCAAGGGAGCAAGGCACCGACAGCTCTATATGCTGTGTTTTATTCTTCAACTGCCAGCACACTTTTGATCTCACAATGAAAAAGAATTAGATAACTGTGGATCTTTAGGGGATACAATCTTCAGAGAATTATAATTTACTTGCAAATAATCCCTTTAGATAAAGTAAAGCAATACTCTTAAAAAGCTAAAAGGATTTTTTTGATGGTAGTAGGCAATGGAAGAGGATAAATTCTCTTAACAAACATGTACTTCTCTGACAAAAATTACAAAGCGGTAAAGTGGTCATGCTAACAAGTAAAGCTATCCTAAAAATGTAATACTTTTTTAAAGTGACAAACACCATGTTCTTGAATAGGACTACCAAAGATGCAGGCACAGGTACAGCCACAGGATGGAACATAAGCTGCTGAACAATCAGAAAGCAACTTTTACGGTAGGTATTCTGAATTTGGTACCGACAGACCTAACTTATGGAAAAATATGCTCTGGGCCTGAGGAAAAACCTGTAAGAAACCAAAGATTCTCTCTCATTTTTTGTATATGAAAACATACTTGTTTGGAAGCTGACTTACATGTGAGTTGCAGTATACCCTGATTCCCATCTTGGATGCAGTTTGTCCAAAGACAGAACTCCATGGATTATTTTGGAAGCTTGGTTGATGGTTTACACATTAACAGTTTTACGTTGCGTGCATCATCAAGTGTGCATTTGTCAGCCAAACCAGTGCTTTCAAAGTGAGCACGGGGAACTTGTTGACGATGCAGCAAACCCAAAATGGCAGCCAGAACGCGGGCAGCCTGGCCCTGCGGATGCTTGCAGCACTGCTCTGCATGCAGATGCCATCACTTCAGCTCTGTTAATGGGTTTGTGGCACATTGAGATCAGAAGAGAACACCAGTCATGCACAAGAGTCAGGCCTACTGCAAAACACATGCTGTAGTACTCGAACACAGAAATTCCTGTGCATTCACTATGCTGGACTAAAGTTTTAATTAAGATCTCTCATTTAGAAGGTTATTTAACCCTGAATTGCAGGTTGCAAGTGCTAGAGGATTTACCTTTGCTATGACAAATGTACCTTCCAGGTTCAAATACAGTCATCTTGGGAAAAAATGCAACTTCCATTCAAAAAAGGGAACTCTTGACAGCACTTGACCTGTCCTGAAATTTTCCTAGTGTGTAAACTCAATGAAATCCTTTTGAATGTGAAAACTCCATGCCAGTTTCTTGAAGTGCCTGTTGGAACAGGAGGCTTTCAAGGACTGGGGAAATTCCAGTATGTTAAGAGAAGGCTTCTGTCAGTTTAAGCACGCTTCACTAGAGTACTGCTCGGTTTTTGGGATTGTTTTTTATTTTTGCCATTTTTTTGTTTAAAAAAAAAAAAGCAGCACTTCTGAAAGGCTTTTCTATAAAGCATAATAGAGTGCTAGACTCTTAATTCCTCTTTCTTTTAATAGCAGTCATGTAAGAGAATTAACAGGGTGTTTACTTCTCTTCCCACATGATAGCTGACAAATTCCATCCCTTCAGTTTTATTTCTGAAGCAGACTGATACATGAATTTCAAGTTGTGTATAAAGCACACAATAGTCTGCTTGGTCAGTGACTAAGGATGGACCCAGCCCAACAGGCAGAACGTAGCTTATTTAAAGTTCTGGCAGAACTGGTAATCAACCTCTGACTGTCAAAATACAATCCCACTAAAGAATAACAATGCGAAATGCATGAAGACAACCATTTTGATAGAGTTCTTAGAGGCAGGTTGATCTAATTAATAGTGTCAGAAGCAAGAAAAAGCTGCATGGACCTAGCTCCAGTTAAAACCCAAAGAGCATTTTATTATCTAGCTCATGGAAAGGGGCCCTGTGGAATAAAGCAAGAACAGGGATCTGTAGTAGCTAATTGACTTGAGAAGTATTTCAGTGCTACGTTTGGAATAGACTAGGCAGGGGTGCATACAACTCCATCTTTTGATTCTTACTTTCCTGCAAAGAACAACATCTCCCTTCATGTATTTTAAAGGGATGCGCTATGATTAGAGCAGAACCCACCCTCATTCTACAATAATATAAAGTACAATACAGACAACTCACAGTTGGTTATCTTAGGAACTTACAGTTATCTTAGCAGTATTCCCCCCCCATGTTCCTAATAGTACAAGGAAACTAACACAGAACAGAAATAGGTTTAGTAGCTTTTCTTAGTCCATTACCAATATTAGTTGTCTATGCTTCCTAAATCTATAACCATCTAAACTAGCTTCTGTAGAAATATGAAACAAATGAGTAATATTTCTGCACATACATACAAAATGTCTGTATATACATACAAAATATTTAAGTTCAGCACACACCTCCACCCACCCCCTC